TCGTGCCTTCGGTCAGCTCAGCCACTGACAACGCGCCCCGCCCCTCCCTCCCCCTCCCTGACCCAGAGAGGTGGGTCCCCTCCCGCCTGGCCTCGGCCCACCCGGATCCCACCGGGTTACGACCCCTCCTCACCCCACCCACCCTCTCTCTGATCCAGGAGAAGTTTTCCCAGATGGATATCTTGATCCTGATGACAGCGGCCGTCTGCCATGATTTGGACCATCCCGGCTACAACAACACGTATGTTCGGAGTCTTTATCTCCTTCTTCCCCCTCAAGGGCACTCTGAGCATCAGAGGTGAACTTTCCAGCTCAACGCTCTGCAAGTTCCAAGCTGCAGCTGTCGGTGAAGGCTTCTCAAGCCCCCGGCTCCACCTCCATGGGACATGGCTCCCCGATTTGGGGCTTTGTCCAGGGCCTTGACTCCCGGGACAGGACCCCTGAGGGGGCTGACTCACCCCTTTGTGGTCCCGGCCCCAGGTCTGCATCTGCACAGGCAGAGCCTGGCAGCAGCAGAACCTCCCCTCCCCCCAAAGCAAGGAGTGACGCCCACCCACATGGGGACCCCGTTCTCTGGGTCTCACTCCCCCGAGGGCAGCCTCCCGAGTGAGCAGAGAGAAGGGGCTAAGACTCACTGAGTCAGAGAAGGGTATGGACGAGTGAGAGGTGGGAGGGTCCAAGGCAGGGCAGGGCGCAGGGGCCAGGAGGACCGGCCAGCTTTGCTGGACCGCACATCCAGTCCCGCCGCTGGGGGCGAGGCACAGAGATCCACCCCAAGTACCTGCCGGAGTCCAGGCCACGCGGTGTTGGTTTGTGTTCACAGCAATGCATGGGTTGTTCTGTTGAATCTGTGTGTTCGTGTTTCAAATTTTATTGTGTGTGATGACACCAGATATGCCAAAGAACCGGGTGGTGGTTTGTCAGTACCAGAGTGGATCCCAGGGCGGGGACGTCTGTGCTCCCCAGAGGAGGCGGCGTCCCCTCACCTCACACTCGGAGGACGTGCCGAGGACAGGCCAGCCAAGGGCTGAGCCCACAGCCCCTGACGTGAAAATACATACTGACCCCCCACCACCACAAACTGAAAATGCTCACGGGCCCTGACCACCCTCAGGGCACGTGGCGGGAAGGCCCTGAGGCTTCTTGGTGGCATCTGCCATTAGTACTGTGACATCTTGGAGGCATCTAGTTAGCAGGCAGCAGAGCATCAGGAGAAGGGGTTTCTGGGCACCAGCAGGGTGTGGTCGCCCCCAAGAGCCCCATCACTTCCAGCCTCTAAACACCCGGGCGTTGCTGCCCTGACTCACAGGAGCCTCCAAGCGCGGATGCCTGAGGCTCCCTCTGCTCTCTCCTGCGATCCCAGGTACCAGATCAATGCCCGCACGGAGCTGGCCGTCCGCTACAATGACATCTCGCCCCTGGAGAACCACCACTGTGCCGTGGCCTTCCAGATCCTCACCCAGCCCGAGTGCAACATCTTCTCCAATGTGCAGCCGGACAGCTTCCGGCAGATCAGACAGGTGTGCGGGGTGGGGGCTCGCTGCTGCAGAGTGGGGGTTTCGGGGGAGATGGTGAGCAGGACCAGAGAGTGGAAGCCCCCTCTGCTGTGGCTGAGGCTCCAGGGAGCTTTGAAGCACAGCTGTGCCCACCAGGCACCCTGGAGAACCAACCTGCCCACCTCCTCCAAGACCACGTGGCCCCAGGAAGAGGTGTGCACGTGGCGTGCACACCTGCGTGGGCTTCCACGCAGCTGCACCTCACGGCCACCATTTACTTTAACCCTTTGAGACAAGTCCTTTCTGATGTCGCAGCCCAGGAAAGCGAGGCTGACAGAGGGGAGGTAACTCGCTCACCCAAGGAGGCGGAGTGTGTCCATGTGGGCCCCGGACGGACACGTCTGCTCCGTCCAGCAGGGCAGAACCCTGACCGCTGGCCCCTAGGTCCCCTCCTGTCCCCGGCCACCCCGTGAGCCAGTCAGCCCCACCTCCCACTTCAGAAAAGAGACTTTTCACTCCTCGGGGCACGTTGGGAGGAGGGTGAGGGTGGCCACCTGTCCTCAGGCAGACATTCCAAGTCACCCACAGTGGTGCCCGCACACACGGAGGTCCCACTGAACACCGCCCTGTGCTTCACCCTCCGACACTTGGTTGGGGTGGGGGGTGATGTCAGAATCAGGTCCTGAGGAGCGAGGCGGGCTGAATGGTAGCCCCTCCAACCAAAAGAAAAGGTGTGTCCACCTCCTGACCCCCCAGGACCTGTGACTTATTTAGAAAAAGAGTCTTTGCAGGTTTAATTAAGTCAGGAGCTCTGGGTC